TTCCCGTGGGGGGGGGGATTATGCAATTTTGCTCCCGTCTAGGTGCGTCCTATCTAGTCTTTATTGTGTGGTCCCTGTGAAGGTCTGTGGGGGAGTTGGGGGACAAGGGGTGTAGGGGTGAGGAGGGGTAAGGGGAGAGCTAAAGAGAGAGAGAGAGGGGAAAAGAAAAAAGGGGGATGAGGTGGGTAAGACGTAGGGGGTGTGCAGGGGGTTGGGGTGATATCATCTATGGCACCAGTGTGGCTCTCGTTAGCCAGGGGTCACATATCTTGTGGAAGGATTTGGTTGTATCGTGGATTAGGGCAGACAGTTTGTCCATTTCAATCATTTCTTCAAGTTTTTGGAGTACTTCCGGCAATGAGGGGGTGACTTTTCTACCCCAGTCTCTAGCTACGGTTCTCCGTGTAGCCAGTGCGACGTGGGCTGCGAGTTTGTTTTGAGCCTTAGTAAGGGATTTGTGTGGTTTTGAAAGGAGCCAGATCGAGGGGTCCAGTGGGAGGTCGCTCTCCTATGTCCCTCTTCCATGCTGCGGTGTTTGAGAGGGCCTTGGGGGGGGTTGTTGTGGTGGAGGATGTTGTAGATGATGGATATTTGTTCCCTCTGTATTGGGGTGTGAAGAAGTGACAGAATCTGACCAGGTCGTTGTCTTCAAACCTTGCAAAGTGTTTGGGAGTCATGCCTGGTTCAAATTGGGTGTTTCGCAGTATCGGTGTTAGTGGGGATGGGGAATTGATAATGTTGTATTTGCGAGTGATCCGGTCCCATAGTTGAATAGAGTGCATCAGTGCTGGGGTCGTGGGTGGAGTGTGTGGTCTGTCGTGCTTGGTTAGCCGTAGGAGTAGGGAAGGGAAGTCTCAGCCAAGTAGGTCATGTTCTAGATCTACCCGCAATTTGAGCCCCGCTGGGGCATGTAGGTTTTGAATTTGGGCTAGCTGGGCCACCTAGTGGTAGTCCCAGAGGTTGGGGATGCCCAACCCCCATCTTGTGTGGTATATATAGCATTACTCTCTTGATTCTTGCTTTTTTCCCCGCCCATATGAATTTGTCGATTCGAGTCTGTAGTGACTTGAAGTCCGGCTTAGATATAGGTAAAGGTAGGGCCTGGAAGAGGTAGAGAAAGTGCGGGAGCAAGTTCATCTTTATCGATGCCAGACAACCCAGCCATGAGATGGATAGGTGTTGCCATGTTTCCAGGTCTTGCGTTGCTTTGAGTAGAAGTGGGAGATAGTTGAGTTGGTATGTTGTTTGCAAATCTGCCGGTAAATGTGTGCCTAGGTAGTGTATGCTCTGCGGTTCGTATCGGAATGGGTAGTCTAATTTAAGTGCCTCCAGCGTGTCGGCAGGGGTGTGGATTGGGAGGGCTTCTGTTTTGCTGAGATTCAGTTTGTAGCCCGACACTTTGGCATAGTCGTCTAGGAGGGCCAGTAGTGGGGGCCGGGAAGATGTGGGGTCTGTCAGTGTCAGTAGGAGGTCGTCCGCATAGGCTGCTATCTTGTATTCCTCTTTGCGGAGTTTGATGCCGGTTATGATTTCGGTCTGACGTATTTTTTGGAGGAAGGGTTCCATGGACAAGATGAAGGGGAGGGGGGAAAAGGGGCAGCCTTTTCACGTGCCATTGTGGATTGTGAAGGAGTGGGGTTGGGCGTTCTGGATTAGGAGGTTCGTTGTGGGTTGGGAGTATAATCTCCTAATCGTATCTGTGAAGGTTGCTGGGAAGGCCATTTTGTTGAGGGTTGCCAATAGGTAGGGCCAGAGTATGCGGTCAAATGCTTTCTCAGCATCTAGGGAGAGGAGAAGAGAAATGTTTTTTGGCCCTTGTCTGTGAGTGAGGGCATGCGTTTCAGAAATGTCTCTATCTTTACCCGTGTGGAGGTGGGATCTTGTCGTGAATCAGGGTCATAGAGAGAGGCGTAGTAGTCTTGGAAGACGGTCGCTATTTGGTGTGGTAGAGTGCATAGCTGACCGTCGGGTGCTTGTATTTGGGTTATTTGTTTGGATCATTGCCGTTGGTGGAGCCTGCGAGCTAAAAGTGTGTCTGCTTTGTTCGATTTTTCGTAAAACATTTGTCTCATCCATTGGAGCGCTTTTTTTGAGTCTTGTGCCATAAATTTCTGTATTTCGTGTCTGTAGTTGGGCCGTCTGGGCTGTGGTCAGCATTGTGTTGCAGTTCTGTGGTTCTGAGGGCAGTCAGTTGTGTTTCTAGTTGTGTTAGTTGTTGTTTTTTGTATGCTATGGCTGCCGCGATTAGTTTGTCCTTATGACTGCTTTATGGGCTGCCCAGAGGGTGCTCGCGGAGGTGACTGAGTTTTTATTATTTTTGAAGTAGTCAGTGATGTCTTTACAAATGGCTTCTTTAATGTTCATGTTGAGGAGGTGTATAGGGTTGAGTCTCCAGGACCACGTTTTGGTGGTGTGTGGTATGGTGAATTGAAGGAGAATGTATGCGTGGTCCGACCACGTGATTTAGCCTATTGTTGCATTTGTGACGTATGGGAGTAGGGAGGGAGACGTAAGGAACGTGAGTAGGAAGAGTGGGGGTGAGAGTAGAAGGTGAAGTCTGTGGTGGTGGGGTGTAGTATTCTCCATGTGTCCAGTAGTTGTGTGCATGTTACGAATGCTTGCAGCATCTTGTCTGTCCGGATGGCCAGTGGAGGCCGCAAGCTCGATCTATTTGGCCATCTTCTATCTACCTCGCGGGACATGGTTGCGTTGTAGTCTCCACCTGTGATCATGTGGTGCGAGGGAAAGAGTGTCGGAGGTGGGCTTGTAGGGCATCCCAGAAGTTGGTGTCTGGGAGGGTAGGGCATAGACTGTGGGGTCCGATGTGACGTACTAGTGTTATATATCTGCCCTGTGGGTCGGCAATGGTGTGCGTGAATTCTACAGGGCAGGTGTTGCGGATCATAACAGCTACCCCATTTTTTTTCCCCATTGGGGAGTTTGCAAGATGGCACTCCCGATAATGCCTGTTTAGGAGGAGGAATGCTCTGGATTGTTCGTAGTGGGTTTCCTGGAGTAGGATGATGTCGGCCGCAGAGCGGTTGGCCCACCAGAGCAGGCAGTCTTTTGTTTGTGTTGTTAAGGCCTTTGCAGTTTATAGAAAGGCATGTGAGCCATGCAGGTTTGGGCCCTGGTTTGCCCCTGGGTCCCGTGGCAGGCCCCTGCATAGGGTGTTGAGACATGTGGAGGGAGTGCTGGGAGGGCAGAGAGAGGAAGGGGGAGAGAGAGGAAGAAGAAGAAAAAAAAAAGGGATAAGAGAGAAGGGAGAGGTGGGGCGGAAGGTGGGAGGCTAGGTTGGGGGGGTGCAGGTGTTAGTAGTGTGAGTCGGTGTCTGGGGGGGATGAGTGAGTGGGGGGTCAGTTAGGTGTATAACCTGGTCTTATGTCAGTGTTGCCAGGTCGTCCTGGGGGTGGCTTGTGGTCGTTTGTGTCTCTGTTGGTCCTCCATGGGCGTTGGTCCGGTATAGGGGGGTGAGGAAGAGAACGTCCATGTATGGCAACGTCTCTCTCTTCCCTAAGTTTAGGCCTATCGGCTTGTGTACGAGTCGGTTGTCAGTAAGTAGAGAACAGTTAGTATTTATCGTTAGGGGTCTCACGTTGTCCCCTTGTGGAGTGTTGTGAGTGTTGTGGGTATCGTTATGCATTTGTAGCCCCATTTCGTGGGGGTGAGGTCCCGTTTTAAACATAAGTTAAAGAACATTTGTACAATATTGAAGCAATTCCAATCTGAAATAGGGTTTAAATCTGAATCTTCATATAACCAATTGAACTGAAGTGAGAGCTGGGATGGTGTGAAGAGAAAGAGAGAAAAGGGCGGTGGGACCCACTGGGCTCATCCCTTGTGAGGTTGTGGTGTTGCAAGGTCTTGTAGGTGCTTCAGGGGTTTCATTTGGGTGGTGTTTCCCATGGCTTTGCCAGGGTGTAGCGGAGGGGGGTGTGAAATTGCCCAAGTACCTGCCATCTTCTAGAGTGTATATATCATGTTAAGTGGGGCAGGCAGGTGGTAGATGCGCGGGGGGTGCCCTAGTGTAGGGGTGATCTTTCTTGCGTTGTGTGGGGTGGGAGGGTTGGCAGGGGGTAGTGTATGAGCGACAGTGGGGGTGTGATGGTTTTGTTGTCCAGTTATGATATTGGGGGTCCTCCCCTCGGGAGGGGGGGGTGCGTGTTCGCCCTTGCCGGGATACGTTAAGTGAAGTTCCCCTGGGTGTGTAGCATGTGTGATAGTTGTCATACCTGGGTCCCGATGCGTTTTTAGTGCGAGTGGGATGCGGTATTTGGTGTTTGCATCTCTGAGGTCTGGTGGGGTGTTTTGGGAGCCCTAGGTTTGCAGAGTGTAGCGGAGGGTTCGGGGGAGGGTGGTGTTTTGTGTTACTCTCATCGGTATATGCTTCATTTCAGTACCCTACAAAATACAGGCAATTTCTTATAAGTAATCATTATACATTGTAGATACATTAAATTGAAAGCATTTTTAAAGTTAAAACACTTTGAACCTCTTTGAGTCTCTTTGAACCTCTGTGAGCTCCCCTCTGGTTTTCTGCTTCTCGCTTCGGGGTTGGGTTGGGTACCCCCGTAGATGCTTGCTGGGATCAGGTCGTTTCAGGGGAGGGTTAGGAGGGTGGCCGGATCGGGGATGTGGTCAGGTACGGGTGTTCGGTTTGCGGAGATGAGGTCGGGGGGGGCTGGATGGTAATGCCGTGTTCCACAGATGGCAGCCCCTAACGACCTGCCAATTATGGACAGGTTGTCGCCTGCGCGGCTGGGGTTGAGGCTGTATCAGAAGGATGAGCGTTTTAGGCTGGTGCGGTAGTGGGATCGTCTCACAAAGGGGAGCGGTGCCCTGTGCCCCTGTGTCCCCCAAAAATCCCCTCCCTCTGAGTAACATATATAGAGTTTACAACATATAGGTTAGGGCAATACAATACCAGTCAGCAGAGTGGCGTATGCAATTTCAGGGTACCAGTATATCAGAGTCTGTGTCCCTTTATTTCTTTAGAGTACTTGGGCCCATGGGGCCCTGTCGGGAGTTCCCAGTTTGTGCGGGAGTAGCTCTGCGTGTCTCGGGTATGCGGGTCCAGGTCTGGGGGGTGTCCCGGACGGAGGTTCCCCTGGTTGGTAAATGCGTGGAGGTTGTCAGGGGGCAGGTTGTTGGGGATCACTCGTGGATCATGGTTGTTGCTCAGGGTGAGCAGAGGGCAGAAAGTCCCGAAGTCCTTGAGAGTGAGGTGGTAATTGTCGACCCCTTGGTGATAGAGTTCGGGGATCAAGTTTCCAGTGCGTGCCTGTAGGGGAAAGGTACTGCTCGAGGTTCACGGAATGGGGGCCAGGAGGGGGGGAGGAGAGGAAACTTGCCAGCTCCAGTAGGTCCATGGTTGGCTGTCAGGTATGTTCGGTATGTTCAGATGTTCTGGTTGTGGGCTTGTTCAGGTATGGGAGTGCACTTCGTGGTTAGTTCCGTTCTTCGGGTTGTGTAGAGGTCTTCTTGCGCGGTGTTCAGTGGGAGGAGACTGCAAGCCTCTCTCTTTGTGGTTGTGGCCTGCCGCTCGCGTTTGTGGATGCGGCCTGTTGGGCTGGCAGCAGGGTAAGTCCCAAAGACTCAATGAATGGGATCATTTCAGCAGCATTCGTCAGGATGTGGGTCTGGTTGTCTTTCATGACTATCAGTTTAAAAGGATGGCCCCACATGTACCGTACCCCATAGTGATTGAGCGTGAGGGTTAATTTTTTGAGGTCTCTTCTTTTTTTTAGGGTGGAGGGGGCTAGGTCTTGGAAGAAGGCCAGGCGAGTCCCTTGATGTTGCGGTGGATTTGCCCTGGCGAGGTTGAGGATACGTTCGTTTGATTGTAAAGTAATGCAAGCGGACTATGATATCCCTGGGTTCAGGGCTGGCGGTCGGAGTGCTCTGTGGGCCTGGTCCATGAGGAGGTCTTGCGTAGAGGCTTTGGGTAGGATGGCTTGGAATAGGCCTGTGAGCGTGGCTTCTAGGCCGTCAGGCGTGACGGTTTTAGGAAGGTCCCTGATCCTTATATTATTTCACCGGGACCTGTTGTTCAGGTCTTCCAGGCTTTCTTCCATTGCTTCAATTTTCGCATGGAGGTAGGTGATGTCCTGTGAGTGTGCCTGAGATTTAGAGGTTAGGTCAGTGATGTGCGATTCAGCTTGGTCCAATCTGTGCGCCAGGGTTTCAATGTCCTCACGTAGGCCTGTGAGTCTTTTATTTAGCTCCGATGCCATGTGGGATTTAATGTCTGCGGTGGCTTCTTTGAGCATCCGTCGCATGTCTTGCAGAGTTAGGAGAGCGTCCGAAGCTGTGGTGTGTTCGCTCCACTCCAGGTCTGTACCTGTCTCCTCCATGCTTTGGCGGGAAGATGGCCGGCCTGGTTCTTGCTGCGGGCGGAACATTGTGGCGACCGATGGGGTCTGTTCTTTTTTCTATTTTCCACCTCCCATCACTATAGTTGTGTGCTGTTTGGATAGTATGGTGAATTCTGGGTTCTCTGGTTGTTTGAGCGCTCGTGTGTGCGGATGTATGCGGATTGAATTTGCTGGGAAGAGGGAGCTACAGGTTTATGCTGCCATCTTCCTCAACGGTCAGGCCACGCCCCCCCAGTACACACTTTTATTGCATGTGATGTCACCATGCACTTTATGGGGATGTCACACAGTGCAGAAGAGGCATCTTAATTAGTTAGATACTTTAGATAGTCCAGAAAGCAATGAATGGCACTATGTTCTGTTCCTTTCCTTTTCTAAAACACTGTGAATGACTACACAGAATCATCATGATTGTAGTTTATTGTATTATCCATCACAACAGAACTCCTTATTTCTATATATTTTAACAAGCAAATAACTTAATCCAGAAATCTTTGCACACTTTAACTGCTCAAGTATACACTGAGTTGGTAGAGAAATGGCTAAAGTCTGCACCTAGAACAATAAAAAAATATATGCAATCAAGATAGTTCAGCTTGTTATTGGTCCTGAAAAATATAAGGATGAAGTGTTGGCAATACATCACTTTGGAACCATTCCACATGGGACCTTCATAAGCAATGGAGGCATTCCTTACCTGGGTTTCAACATGTAGATATATAAGAATGGCTTTTCAGAGTGGTCCTTATTAATATATTGATGGCAGTCCCATTATTCATAAACTTGTTTTACAAATACTTTCTAAAAGTGTTTTATTACAAAAGATTAGTTATGGTAGACAGACCATCAGAAGTTTCTTTGTCAATGTGAATATCAATGTTTTGACAGGCCGTGACATTGTTATACAAAATTATTTTCTTGAATTTTAATTCCACAATGTTCATAATTAAACTAGCTCTTTTAAATGAGCTATACTCTTTTCCTATAGTTTACTCAGTTATTAAGTGCTTATCCATTGTCCTCATCAGCGATTATTTATAATAAAATATGTTATAGTTTAATAGATTAAACTAATATTAATCTGTTGTGAACATAATTTTCATCTTTTTTTCTAAAAAAATAATTCAAATTACAGAGCTGGTGTAATTATGAAAGTTTAGGGATTACAATTCAAGAACTTTATGGACCACTTAAATGCCACTTAAACGTCTGGACACCATGGTAAGTACATGCCACCTCTTCCTAGTTAAGGTGTTGTTTTCCACTGTAACGTCTCCATCAGAGTTGGTATCCCTCGTTCATTTCTTTCACCTTTATCCCCTTTTTGTTCTTATACGTTAAAACTAGCATGAGAAATTGGTACTGCAAGATTGTCACATACTAATACGAGCAATTAATTTTGTTACCAAGAGTAGTAGAACGCCATTTTTGGAAGAGATGTTTTTTTTCATATTGTGTCTTTCCTTCTTTCACCCACGCTTTGCTCATGAAAATTTGTTGAATAAAAGATTTTCATAAATGTTTTCATTTGTGTATGTTAGTCAATTTAAATTTCATAAAATCGAGACTGTATACAAACCAATAATAATGTTTAAATATGAATGCAGGCCTTATGTAGGGCTAAATATACTTTTGATAGGTATATCTGTAGGTTTTATTTCATGTCTTTCTTCTCGTAGTCTTCTACATTACTTCAAAAACCTTTAATAAGCAAACATTTAAAAAATAGAATTCAAGAAACACTTATTAAAAATCTAATCACAACAGAAAATAATACCAAACAGTCTAATATGTTAGATATTATTGTGTGAGCAAATGTGTTTGTGGAGGTACCATATGACTATGTAGGGGTGCCATATGGCTCAATCTTACCTTTACTCCTTATTAAATATCACAGTTGCATTTGTACATGAATATATCTTGAAATCCATGGCAATTATTTGGATTTATAACTGTACAGTGTTAGCCAGGGTCATTTAAGTGCACAAAGATAGTTCCTGCTTTGAAGGAGATTGAACAATCATATCTTATCATAAGCATTTCTTTTCAAGTGACAAAATTCAACTTGCGGTTTGGACGCCTGGAGATGTAATCTGGCAGGTGTCCTCTGGCCTTGTTTCTTAAGAATAAATGATAAAAAAGTATAGTGGGTGGCATTTGCCTCCTGTGGAACAGCAGAAGGTTGGATTTAAGTAGTTTTCTTCTACAATGCCAGGATGCAAATATGTTACTCCAGCCGTGATTGATTACTGAGGTATAGCGGAGATTCCATTTCAACATTTCCTCTGAGATCTTTTGTTGTCTAGAGGATTAGTTTCAACCTGTACCTGTCAGAATGAAAATGATGACAAACAGAGGCAATGATGTTAAATGTTCTCCACATCAGGGGTTTAGAGAAGAAAAAAATACAGAAGAACAAGCACTTTTTATAAGATAAAGCTGGAAACACAATTAGGGTAAATACGAAATGTGACAAAGTTTCTACCCTTTGCAAGTGTAGCACAAAATATGTTAGACAGAAACATCTCCAGGAAAGCAGGAAAGTATTTATTTAATCACAAAATAGAACACACTAAATGATTTTTGTTTATTTTCTCATAATAAACATATTTATTGATCCGTTGCTGGTCCCCTCCTTAAATCAAATGTATTTGTAGAAAGATTCTAATGTACCAGTTCTAGTATTTAATTTACAAATTCATTATAGCTGCTGGAACAACAGCTTTCTAACAGTACTTACATGCTAATATATGATGGGGGTAATTATACATTGTTACATTGTAATATACACTGATCAGGCACAACATTAAAAACACAGACAAGTGAAGTGGATAACATTGATTATATCATTACAATGGCGCCTGTCTAGAGGTGGGATATATTAGGCAGCAACTGAACATTCAGTTATTGAATTTCACATGTAGAAGCAGGACAATTAGCAAGGGAAAAAATGTGAGTGACTTTGATAAGGGACAAATAGTGGTAGCTAGATGACTAGGTCAAAGCATCTCCAAAACAGCAAGTCTATTGGGAGCTACCAGTGTGCAGTGGTTAGTATCTACCAAAAATGGTGCATGGAAGGACAACAGGGGAGTCAATGCCAGAGTCATGGGCACATAGAAGAGATACTGTAGCTCAAATTGCTGAAAAAACAAATACTGGCCATACTTGACAAGTGTCAGAACACACAGTGCTTCGCAATTTGCTGCATATGGGGCTGCATAGCCGCAGACTGGTAAGAGTGCCCATGATGACCCTGTCCATCACCGGAAGCACCTTCAATGAGGACGTAAGCATAAGAACTGGACCATGGAGCAATAGATGAAGGTTACCTGGTCTGATGAATCACATTTTCTTTTAGATTAGGTGGATGGCTGAGTTTATGTGCATTATTTACCTGGGGGAGAGATGGCGCAGGGTAGTGAATTACATAGGATTGGGGCAGTCCCTGAAAAATCCTGCAGATGGCTTTGCAGTGCAGGAATGGGCATATGACAGGAGAAGGTTGCTTGCAGAGCAGACGGAACAAGTGTATTTGTTGAATAAAGAGGAAATGTAGTGAGGAGTGGGGTTAGTAAAGGGCTATGTAGGTTAGTGTTAGCTGTTCGAATTGGATTCTGGAGGGTACAGGAAGCCAATGTAATTTTTGGGAAATGGTGAGGCATGAGGGTAGAAGTCAGTCAGGAAGATGAGCCTGGCAGCAGAATTCATGAGGTACAATGCAGGTATTTGGAAAGTTAATGAATAGTAAGTGGCAATAGTGAATTGCATTATGATTTACACAAGACCATTCAGGTTGCAGTACTGAGTGCAAACGTATCATGGTTTTATTTTCTGATACTTAAGGATAACCCTGTTCCTCACAACCATTTCCAAGCATGTTTAAGTAACACAGCTTGTTTCGAAC